GTATTATTTCCTGCCTACTTACAGAAATATTGGGTCCGAGCAAAAGTTCGTTGCGTTTTTTTTTTTCTTTTGTTAACCCAATGTAAATTCATCAAAGTATAGGGCTACTGCAGTTGGTTGCTGTATAAACGTATTAGTTTATATGTTTTACTAATCCTCTTACAGATTTCCTTTTATATGGACTAAGAGTGTAAAAACTGCCAGTTGTGATTATGGCCTCAAGCTCTTTCGGTCAATTAGCCATTTTCAAGGATTTTTTAAAATCATTTCACCCCAAGCAAGGCGGGAATGCCATTAGTACAGAGAGAGTTACAGAGAGTGAAAGTGAGAGAAAAGACTTGGTATGGTGGGGGTGGGGAGGATAAAAAGTTGAACGGGGCTCAAGACGACAGAGGATAGCAATTTACGTTGCATTTAAATTTTTGAAGATTGTATCAGGGAAGCGGTGAAACGGAAGAGAATTCCACAGGTGGGAAGTGCAAGAAAATAAACTGTTGGTGTAGAAGTGATGGTTGCAATTTAACTATTTCAACTGTCTATGCTTTCCAGCCAACTTTAATCTTCAAAAATTTAAATGCAATCTCAATCGTTTTCTACTGTCTTTCTGATTGCTGTTCGATTGTTCTTGCTTCTTAGCAAAGCTTCTGTTTTCTAATTCGTTCACACCCAGTAACCCTCTGTGTCTTAGTGGCTTTACTGCCTTGCTTGGAGTGAAATCGATAAAAAAAAAAGGTGGGACCTAGATGCCAATCTAGCAGCACGCTTAAATTCATGTAATTGAGACACCAGGGAGAAAAGGTTCGACAGAGCAGTTGCCATTAAAATATTTGTAGAAAAGACAGAGGGAAGCTACATCACGTCGTTGAGAAAGTGACTGAAGTCGTGATGCCAATTCAGAATCGATTACATTGCAGATTCTTCTTTGGATTTTGTCAAGAACCTTGAGATGAATAGCAGGAACACCAGACCAAATATGGCAACAGCATTCAATGCATGGACAAATGGTAGATTTGTAAATGTAAAATAAAATATAAAGCAGAAATAGTGTAAGACCGAAGAGAGAGTACTGGAATACGCTTGCATTGATCTAATAGGCTTTAATAGCCTAGCCATTATCAACCACCATATATCTACCTGTAACGCGATTAAATTCATTCAGTCGATGCATTAAGTAGAACAGCTCATCAGAAGAATTGCCATGAAAATATTTATAAAAAAGACAGAGGGAAGCCACGTCACATCAGTGAGAAATTGACTGACGTCTAGATGTCTGGTGCGGATCGATTACATTACAGACCCTTTGGATTTTGTCAAGAATCTCAAGATGTACAGCAGGAGCACCAGACATGAATTTCAGTTCGATTCTGTTTAGTTCACTTGACACTAATGCCCTTGAAAAAGAAAAGAGGCCATCTTCCTCCAGCGTTGATTTTAGTAAGATTCAACAAATTTCAAATAGCAAAACAGTTAAAAAGTTCTAGTAAAATAATAATATAGAAAATAATTCATCTGAAAACCTAACAACATGAAATAAAGGTTATTATAATAATTGTGAAAATGCTTTATCAAAATTAAAAAAAAAGAATTAACTTAAACCCGTGGAATGTTTACTAATATAACCGCACATTGCTTTATAGATCGAAAGGTCATGATTTATGGACGTAAGAAATATGTGTACCAAAATCTAATAAGCTCGTATTTCGTAAGCTTAGTCACGACTTGTGTTCCTTTGCACGTTTCAAATGTTAAAAAAACTAATGCTGTCGTCTGCTCTTTGAATTCGATACAGTTAGCACTCGAAAATGTTTGAACAAAGTTTGTTTTTGTGCTCGCGTCTCTACATGAAACATTTATTTGTGGGTGGACACTGAAAACACTAGAAGCGTGTGGATGCATTAATTAAAATTTTCTGTTGTATAAAAACAAGCTGTCCCCAAATAAAACCACAAATATAAAAATAAAATAAGTATTCAGATTTATACACCAATTTTAGTACAACAGGCGAACATATAAAAATCTATGTATGGAAATGAATCAATACAAAAAATATTTTTCCATTAGGCTCCAAATAAAAAGGACTCTTATTCGGTATGAAATTGAACACAAGCAATTTTTTTATTTACAATAGATTTGTAGTGATAGAAAAATAAATAAATAATAACAAAGAGACCAAAACTTCACCATCTCTTAAAATAGATGCATATTATGAATCACCAGGCCATAAAGCCATATTTCGACTAAAAAATCAAAAAACTTTCACAACCATGATATATGTTCATGGGCCAATGAGAATCAAAGCAGAACTTTCAAAGCGGATTTCTATAGATGCATATAACGAAATGGAAAATTAACCTAAACTAGAATGATGAATTAGTTTTGTCCATTTTTCGATGCTACGGTTATCATAATCTACCCAGAGCCAAAATACTGCATTTGCACGACGAGTCGGCGATTTTAAACACTTTTTGATACATTGAAAACATATACCCTTTCTTTCAGCATCTTTTTAAGCAGCTTTCTGATACATTTGAAACTATAAATATAAATATATATACCTTCCTTCACCCACATTGTTAAGTAGGCGTTTACTACATTTAGATACATGCATATACGTATATATTTAATTCGTCTTGGACACTTTCTCACTCTCTCTGTCTATCTCTTGTATGAGCCAGGACTTTAACACCTGAACTCTTGAAAATTTCACCATATCTTTTTGTATTATTATATTATACGAGGGTGGGCTGAAATGTTCATGACTGACTATGAAGGAGTGATGCCTGGGCTGTGAAATCTTGCATGCTTTAAACTCTTCTTATTAATAACTGCAGTGTTTCGTTCCAGGTAAACTGATATCTGGCTGTTCAAAGAAAACTATTCTGTTTGCCAAAAAATTATCAAAAGTAGATATGACGTCATTATGCGATATCAGTCAAATGTCTTTTTTTTTTCATGTTGGGGAATAGATGATAATCAAATCAGAAGAGTAAGGGTGGTGATCAATCAGTTTATAGTTACAGTCAGGCACATCAGCTATTGAAACTAAGGTCTTGTGTGCTGGAGCATTGTCCTGATGAAACAAGTCACCTTTCTTCAGTTTTCCTGCGTGTTTGACGATGATAGCTTTTCGTAACTGTTTCAGCAAGTTACCATAGTATTCTCCATTGCGGGTGTAACCCTTTTGAAGGTAGTCAATAACACAATGCTTTTTCCACCCCACCCCAAATCTTCATAAACGATCTTCCCTATCTCATCATCTCCTGACTAAATATTTATATTGATGATACTTTTTAAACAAGAGTAAATAGTTCTAAGACCGATAGTTACGACAAAGTAAAACTGGCAGCCGATCTCGAAAACCCTTTGTCTCTTAATAACATTATCAATTTGCTTGGAGTGAAATGATAAAAAGACAACGAATATTTGATTTTTATTGTACCTAGCCAGACAGCTTCGCCATAAATAGGCTTAACATCGAGGTTTATCAAGAAAAGTCCTATCAGAATATCTCATAGGTTATTAAAGTCTGGTTCTCTAAGGTAGTGGTAAGGAGCATAGGGTTATATTTTTTTTACATAAATTTTTATATATATTTATCAGAGAATTTACAAAACAATGACACGGAAAGTAACTAATTTCTTCATTTGATTTAACAAGGAACAGTACTTGTTCGGTTCATTCATTTCGTATCAGATAATTTATTGCTTTACAAAATAATTTTGTTCAGATTAATTAAAAACAAAAGACAATTTTTCAAAATTTCGACATTTATTGAACATATAGATCGTTTTGTTCCATATCTTCTTAATACCATCTTGCCAGGACATTTTCAATAAATAACAACTCTGTATGCCTTTCATAATGAGAAAAAAAAAACTAATTTTTTTACTTGGTCACCAAGCAAGTATGTGGTCAGTTATCCTGACTGAATGTTAACGAATTGCAGATGCTTTTCCGCCATTGCTGCCTTCAGTTGATACAATTAGAAGGGGTACTTATTCGAATAAATCATTTAGCTTTTCGGAAGTCCATTCCAATTTCGTCATATGCATAGCATCACTTTCTTTGGATGATTATGGGTATCATTACAGTTAATAATTTTCATTACGCAAGTCTTACAATTTCTTGCTTCCCATATTATTGTAATGTATCCACTTTTCATCGTCCGTCAAAATTAGCTTCAGAAACAAAACATTTAAATACTGTTTAGCTGCTTTGTGCGGGTTGAGATTCGCCTATGTGGAAACCATACATTAAAGTGATGGACACAACCAAACTGGTGCAAGTGATTTTCAGTACTTGAATTGGATATTTTAAGTTCTGTCGGTTTTCTCCCATAACGTATAACGATGATTATTCTCTGTTAATTTCTTCGTTTGATCAACCACAACTGATTCACCTCATCCTGGAACATAGTTTTGAGAGAAATATCCAACAGGAAACTTTGTAAACAACTTTTTAAAATATTCCATCAATCACAGTATTTTTCTCATAAATTGTCTCGGTATTTTTATAATTGCGTCGCGTCATTTTTATTTATTTATTTTTTTGGTATTTCTTAAAATAAAAGCACAGTATACCGAAAACATCGGTTGTTTTCTTCCATCATAAAATGTTAGCATAATGACTTCACAATAAAATCAAAAGCAATTATTTTAATGAAGTTAATGAAGCTTAGGCGCCTCCGAAGTCATTTAACGATAGATACAATTAACATTTTCGCCAACCTAATTGTTGATTAACTCCCTTTATGTGGAGTTGTGCGCCCCTTATATAACCACCAGACTAAATGAGCAAGTTCTTTTTACTCAGCTAACATTTCATCTGGTAACGGAACATGACAAATCGTGGTTGGCATATCAAGAAAAAATGCATTTTACAAAAATTAATAAAGAAAGGATACACGTTGCAGAAGCCAAAAAGGGTTAAAGAGAAGGTAAAAAAGAAGGTCAAGATAGGTTATACATGCAACAAAAAAGTCACGAAAGAAAGGATATGCGTTAGAGAAGGCAAACGAAAGAAAGGATAAACGTAGAGAAACCAACAAAAAGCGAAAGAAAGGATACCACTAAAAAAAAAAAAAAACGAAAGAAAGGATACCAAAAAAAAAAAAAAAAAGCAAAAGAAAGGATACCAATAAAAAAAAAAGCGAAAGAAAGGAGACCAATAAAAAAAACGAAAAAAAGGATACTAATAAAAAAAGCGAAAAGATGGATACATGTTAGAGCAGATAAAAAAGAAATAAAGCCTACAGAGAACCCCTCAACACCACCAAAAAAAAAAAAAAAAAAAAAAAGAAAGAAAGTATACAAATTACAGAAGCACACACCATGTCTCAGAAAAAGAGATACACATTAGAGAAGACAAAAGAATAGAAAGGATACGTTAAAGAAGCAAACAAAAAGGATAAATGTTAGAGAAGCAAAAAAAAAAAAAGAAAAAGAAAGAAAGTATAAACTTTAGAGAAGCCCCCCCCCCTCCTCACCCGTAAAAAAAGAAAGGATACATGTGATAGAAGCCCAATAACATGATATTACTCGCTGTCAATGATTCAGACCTATGCCTTATTCATTGGCAATCGCGGAAATAAATAGGACCATGAGATGCTCTTTAACAGCTCAATGTTTGGCCCAGTAAGAAGCAATTGAAACAGCATTCTCCCTAAAAGGAAAAGAAACCAACAGAGATGTGAAAGCAATATTCAAATCAAATGCTTCACTGATAACAAATCGCTCATTGACTTATTACATTCTTCCAGGACCCGTGAAGAAAAAAATATGGCTCTTGGGTGAAACCATTATCAAGTACATGACGGCAAAGGGAAAAATCAATGTTATGAATCATGAATCAAGAAGCCAACTAGGTGACCATTTGACAAAAGCATCGTCAGAATTTTTGCCTGAAGCCTTGAGGCAGAAATCGTCAACAGTTGGCTGATTGACAAGTACATGGGCAACAGACGAAAGACAGTGAGTGCTGATTACCTCCCTTGATATGGAGTAGTTTACTCTTTATATCAAGAAATAGCTTCCATATTTAATGAGCTGTTTTTCCAGCTACTATTTCACAGTATTGAAAACGTGGGTAATGACCTCATAGTTACAAGACAGTCATAACTGTTTCTAACTTAAGTTTAATGCACCAAACAATTACTTATGAAATGGTTGATGCTGCTTATTCCTGCAAATTATCAAATCCACCTTGATTTATAAAGAGAACGAGCAAAGATCATTTTATACCAATATTTCCTTTAAATACATTGCATATAGGAAATAAAACAACAGGTAAAACTAAAAAAAAATCTAAATTAAAATAAAGATCCCAAATCTTGGAATAAATTTTTATCCAATGCGGTCATCACCGACCATATTTTGAATATCAAAGAAATGATTGACCCAGCAAAACCTAAGCGCTGAATCTTTCAATTCAGGGTATGGCCTTCTTAACTGAACAACCGATATTTACGATAACAGAGTGTAAAATCTCAGACCGGAGTTTTAGCATTTCTTCAACTCTGTCCTCGGAAACGTTCGTTTGTGTTCGGAACACAAATGGATAAATCCCGTAAAGCTTTTTACAAGGTAGAGACTTCACAATCATATTGTTTTTGGATCGCTCTAGTTTGTGAATGTAAGTACCCGTATGGCAAGACCCCAGGCCTCGAAAACCTATAGCATTTATACTCATTTTGAGGTTGCAAGGTGCTGGCAAAAAAGCACCTTCAAACAGTGAAGTCCCGAGAGGGAAGACATTGTTGTATTTAAAGACGTAGTTTTTCCGACCGCTGGTAACATCAAATATGTTATCGCCTTCAACCGAAAAGAAGAAAATGTCGACGAACGGCCAACGATATCTGTAGGCTTTTAATGTTGGCGTTTTTGTATAGTAAAATTTCCATTGAAACCGTGGGTATTGACGAACGTCAAACATTGGCGCGGCTTTTTTCAAACTGCAGAAAAGCTTCTTCCTATCCTTCGAGTCGACGTACACATCAATATCATCGTCCCATGGCACAAAACCATGATGCCTATAAGAACCTGAAAAAGAAAATTGGCGATATAAATAACATTATAAACTTGCTTGTTAGCATTGGCTATTACCTCAGAATAAAGAAATATTAAGTTTTGACTACGATAAAAACAAAAAATAAAAAAAAAAAAACGAAAGAATAAGTTATATTGATATATTCGTATTTAGTTTGTATTTTCAGGTTGTGACACAAATTCGGTTTAATGTGGGGATCCCGAGCGCGTACATCCGAGCTAGGAACAAATATTGCCCGAGCCCCCGCAATCATCAGTTGCGCTGGCCTCGGTACAAGCACCTATCCCTCTCTCTAGTGCAATGAGAGGTCGCGGCCTCGGGCAGCTGTTCCCCAGGGCTGGGCACCACTTAGTATGTTTTTCCTCAGTTGCGACTGTTCTTTGACTGAGCTGCCCCTGAGCGCACTCTGCCCAAAGACAGAGGCACAAATGAGAGATGATAAATAATATATTACAAACTACTCGAGAGAGTAATTTACTATATTAAGTACAATTCCATGGTTTCAACATCTACCTGGCATAATGAGCACACACACACACATATATATATATATATATATATATATATATATATATATATATATATATATATATATATACGTGTGTGTGTGTGGTGGTCTGATTGAATAAATTATAGATTTTATGTCTGCTAATTTTTAACAAAATCCGTTCGTACTCACGGATAATCTTTCGTGTATTGACGTTAAAGCATGAGAGAAATGTGCTATAGCTGTTTAAATTTTTTTATTTCCCAAGTACTTTCGATCTTGTTCCAAGATCATCTTCAGGGGTGCAAGTGGTACAAAACTATATGTTGTTCATTAGTACAATTATTTATACAAAGTCGTGCGTCGTTATCCATTACCGTACTTGGGAATCAATTCACCTCAAACAAGGCGATAATTTCACTAAAATGCAAGGGAGTTAAGCAACACTGAGCCTGGTCACTACTCAGAAAGGTTACCGCCGGAGAATACCAGGTGCTGTAAGCTACAAGACAGGCCTAGCAAGCCGGCGATGGATACGATCTCGCTACTTATACTAACAGGAAACTTCGATATGTGGGGCTGCTTCTGAACTTACAGTCGCAAGATCTACCTGTACAGATATTAACCTGCTCAATTTCATCTGGCATTGTCATCAATTCGGGTTCGATCCTTATTATAAATAACTTGCATTTTCACACATAAAATGATCTTTTTTTTTTTTAAATTGCACCAAAACCTGATTTTAGAGAAAGAGCTGGTAGCACCGATCTCCAAGAATCCGAGACAGATCCCTAGCAATGAAAGTAATCATTGTTCTTAGAGCTAAATCCAACTCCCAACGATATATTACTCTTCAAGCGAGGGTATATTTATGGATACCTGCCAAGACTGGTTTAATCTCATACAAGATTAATCATTCAAATGTAGTTGGTTTGCTTGCATTTAAAAATCCGTATTCGAAATCTTGAATCTTTATCTGGACTCGAACACTAATCTAATCCACTAAATATGCCAAGAGTAAGAGAGATTAGGTTTGAAAAATATTGGGGAAGTTCTCATTGAGAAAGGGAAAATCGCTAATTCTTTTCTCTGATGCGGAAATATCTTTCATCGTTACAATTACTGTTTGTAACCGTTCAGTGTAAAACTATTATTTGTTTTATCATTAATCCCCCAAAAAGAAAATTAATTTTGTGCTTTGAAAAAAAAAAAAAAAAAAGTTTTTTCACATAATATATTTTCTACTTTTAATATCTTCATTGGAAATTTACCAGGAACAAATGATAAATATTTTATTTTACTTTTCGGCTACTAAATACAGACCATATCCATTATCATTTATTAGTGTCGCTGAAAATGTACAAATAACACAAATGAATAATTATATTAATTTGTTTAATTAATAACAAGGATTATTCAACCTTGATCTAAAATTCAACACCACTACCTCTAAACCATAGTCTTGAGTATAACAATACGTTACATCCGGCTTATCATTAAATAAGTACAAGCGAAAAGGTAAAAAATGTTTATTTAAAATTAAAACAAAATGTTTAAAAGAGGCTTTTTTTATTTACCATATCTCTTCAGAGCGTGTGTGATCATGGCTCTCCACAACCTTCTATTTCTTGTAACCCTACGCATCGTTTGTCTCTTTACTGTTCCCCTATCCATTCAGGCTAGTTCGTCAAGTAGGGAAGGGGGGGTCTGCCTTTTTTTGTTTCTATTTTCCTTAAGACTTGATTATGCGTCTCGTCGACAGAATTCTTTGTCGTCCTGGATATGACGATAAACTACATCCGACAGCAATGCCTCTGATCGGGAGATTGGAGGTTTTAAGGAGCATGGAACAACCTCTGAATTGCTGTTGTTCCCAGGTCCACCCTGACCCGGGGTGGTAGTACCAGTTAGGGTTCCAGCTATCGGCAAAAAGTGAACAAACAAACAAAACACTACGAAAGTATAGAAATACCAGCAATACATTTGTATATATAAAAAAAAATTACCAACAATATCTATAATAAAATTACCAACAATAGCTATTTATAATAAAATTAGCAACAATACCTATTGATAGTAAAATTACTAACAATAAATTTTATCTGTAGTTGAAGCCATAAAATTTTGTTCAAAATATTTAGATTTCAGCATTTAATAGTCCATGCTGCTAAACAAAATCAACCAACAATCTCTAAAACAATAAAATATATAGTCAGCACCAAATGGAATTGCAACAAAACAGACAGAAGTATGCAAAATAAATTGCACATAATGCCCAATAATACACATTGGCGAAACATCTAGAAATCTAAAAAAAATGTCTACATGAGAATCGCTAGGGTTTTATGTATAACAACACATTAAACCCACTGTAAGTGCATTGCAATACCTCTGACCACAATTTCGACTTCATAAATGTCAGTTTCGTTAAAAGAGAAAATAAGTCACTAAAGAAAAAGCATTGAAAGTGCACTGATCTCATAATTCTCCATGGTCATCCTCATATACAATATCACCGATTATCGTAAAAAGGAATCCGATCATCGTAAAAAGGAATAATAACACAATGTGGTATACGAACTAATAGCGAAAATAGAACAGAGATCTACTCGAAGTGGGCTAATTTCTAATTCACAGTTGACGGCCACAACAGGAAAAGAAAAAAAAAACTTTCTGACTAGTATCTGATAAGGTCATTTATTACTGCTTCCTCGAAAATTCCACTGAACTTTCCATATACGCAGTGTTTCTCTCATTCCGATCTAAAAACGAATATCAGAGAGAGGCGAAACGCGTTGTTTGCAAAAGCTTTTTAATTTTGACTCACTATTTCCACAACAAAGATAGCAAAATAGATATTTTTGGTTATCCATATCATGTGTTTCACCTTAATTATTAGGAACTATTTGGGACTACTTTTCAGAACTGCCCAACAGATTAAAACTACGTGAGAGTATGTATGAAAGAAATTGTATTATATACACCTTTTTAAAGCCGCCTATTCATTTACAATTTAACAGTCTTCATATCAAAATAACAATCCCTTTTTACATTTTTTTAACATAATAAAAATAATATTCCTTCAGGCTTGTGACTGATATTGTTGTAATTCCCTCCCGTGCCAGCGGTCAGTGTCGGATCTTAAGTAAAAAATTTTAATGTTGATTCCAAAACCACACCTTGTGATGATGATTATTATTAATTACTATTTAGTTATTATTTTTAATATTGCTATTTTTATAATATAATCATTGTTATTACTATTAACACATAGAGAAGAGAAATACAAAGGCTGAAATGTCAGTTATTTGGCCATCATCAGTTATTCTTAACGTGGGCGGTAACCCACCAACTATAACTTTGCTATTAGAGAATAGGTAAAAATAAGATTCTCTGAGTCTTTGAAAGATTTTCAAACCAAATCTTCTTATCGTCTATATTTCCTACATGGAATTTCGAACATAATCATTTATTTAATCTAAGGGAGGAGATTGTTCTCGTTTCCCCTGCCCATATCTCAGAATATACCGTCTAGTTTGTTTTTTTTTTTTGTTTTTTTTTAATACTGCTTAGTTAATTCTTGCTCCGTTTTTACTGCTCGACCCAGCTGAACTCACGATGACTATCATCAATTTTACGAACCAACCCTTTAATCTACTATGCTATTGCACCATAGGACAATTCTCTGTGATGAAGTTGGAGCCATAAACCTAACCTGACTGCTGATTTAGTACTTCCGCCTGTCATGTTTGACTGCTTCTACTGCTGCTGAAGACTCATTGCATTTGTATTTCTTTCTTTATTAGATGGAGGCACGGTGGAATCAGAGAGCCGAGTTCGAATTCCAGTTAAATCCATTACGTGCTAATACCCTTGGGAAAGACCTAAATCCTCTTCTCTCCCAGCTATGGGTAAATTGACTGGGTTATATAGCCTTGAATGGAAACTGCCTCGTCAGTCAAGTATTGAAAGATACATGATCGCCTAAGCGTGTATCACACATGGCAAATAACTGACTGATTAGCGGTTATGTAGGTATTTCTATGCTAGAAGGACCTCATATGCGCTGATTCTTTCAGACATCTCTAGTGGTCATCCTTGTACAGTATGTCCCCTTCATTGTGTCCTCAAAGCCTTCATCTGGTGTATGTCAATAGCCATAGTTCGTGAATTTGGTGACGTAGTAATTGTGAGTTCAATCCCCGGGCCAAACTAAGAACTAGACAAGACATCCCGAGACACGTGCAGCGGAACGAGAAAAATCTACCACCGTAGATTAAATAAATGGTTCAGTTTGAAATTCCTTATAGATTACTCGGATGAAGGCCGGGGAAGGGGTACAACGCCCCGAAACATCGTGATAACAACAACAAAGCTGAGTCCGCGTGTAAATTATGTAAAGGGAAATTGAAAACGAGGCTTAAATGGCATACCTAAGAGCGTCCCACCTTGGATGAAAAAAGTGATATTGTCCTGGGAACAGATGTTGATGAACTTTTGGAAGACGAACAGAGATACAAGCTTCTCCGGCTGCGTCATAGCTGGCATAAAAGCAAACAGTTGGCGGTCGGTGAAATTATTAGTCTTTAACAGTTCTTTAGCTTGTAAAGGGAACTGTCCAAAATGTGGGCCAATATTGTCGCGAATGCTAAAGTTTTGCAGAGCTGGAAATATCAGGGCATTGTGAACACGTTCGACGTCCGGTGCTGGACAACCCGGCACATATATGTTGCTGCTTTTGGTTGGTGTTTTTTCAACGCGTCGGAAGGAAATATTCGCGTAACATTGGTATAGAATACTGACCAGAGTTAAGAAGATGACAACACAGAATATCTCCCTTCTGTGTGTAGTTTTGCTGGCCGACGACATTCTTAATCGCTGCTTTTGGTAGGGGGTCGTCTTCACCTCCCGAACCACTCCTTTGGAAGAAGAAGAAAAAAAATCACATTAAAAGAAATATCTAAAAGAATATTAAGATATTGAACAAGTCTTAAACTTTCGTATAGAATAGTCAAAATTTTGGTAATGTCATCAAATCTACAGCAGTAATATTGTTTCTTTATAATGAAATGCGGTATCGTGAAATGGATAAGTCGATACACATATAAAAAGTAGTAATTTTATTCCGAAGAATAATTCGGTACTAACAGTTGGGAACACAGTCTAGTCGAATAACAGTTAATCGCGAACTTCACCTCCGTTCTGTTCAACTTGGTATTTACCTAAGTCTACCCCACAAGGCGGAATGTTGCACAAGACCGGCTTTTTAACGTGAGGCGTTCCGAGTCCGTAAGTTCGAGCAAAAACATCCGTTAGAACCTGTATACACGGGGTCAGTTTTGTCTACCTCCCCAAACGAGACTGCCCCTTCGGCATAGACTCGTCCGGGTTCGTCCGTGCCCAAAGGCAGAGAGTTCGACAAAACATAGCTGAGCCTGGCAGCGAACTACCTGCTCAGTTCTGTTCAACTTCGGTATTTATCCAAAGCCTCCCCACAAGGCGAGATGTGGCACAAGGCCGCTTTTTAATCTGAGGCATTCCGAGCGCGTACGCTCGTGCAAAAATTCACCGTAGACCCGTATACACTGTGTAGGGTGGCTGTCTATTTCCCCAGACGAGACTGCCCTTCGGCACAGCCTCGTCTGGCAGATAAGGTCGACAAGAAGTTCTGTTCGACTTCGCTATTTACACGAAGCCTCCCCACAAGGTGGAATGTGGCACAGGATCAGTTTTTAACGTGGGGCATTCCGAATCCAGTAGGCTCGGGCAAAAATTCACCCTAAACCCTGTATACACAGGGTCGGGTTTGTTACCTCCCCAGACGAGACTCTTCCCTTCGGCGTAGGCTCGTCTGGGTTTCTCTCCGCCCGTTCAACATTCACTCTCTCATTAAGAGAGCGTGCTTGTTTATCTTTTTAGATCAGTCCAACTTGTGAGGGTGCTCCGTTATTCCATAACTGGAAACATTCGGCATTCAGTGCTACTAGAGTGACACTTCTCCCTCCCTCCCTGGCAATCAAACTGGGATCGAAGCGTAGTATCTGTTCTCACCTCTAAGGTAACGGTGATATTAGCTGTTTCATTATAAGGAAATATTCGGCATTCATTAACCGATTAGCCAATTACGTTTTCCTTCACTTCCTGCTCATCTGGCTGGGATCGTTGCCCCTGTTCTCGTCTTTACTCGTAATATTAGTCGTTTCCTTATAAGGAAACATTCGACATTCATTGACTGAACTGCCAGTGCAACTGTCGGCAGAAATTTACAAAATCTTTCCATTAAAATTTATTTTTCAAGAAAATAGGTTTGTCAAGTCCAGTAACTATTATCGCTCTTTCCATTATTGATGGGGTTTTCCTTCGTAATCTTATGTTTGGAAGTAGTATGGAGCGTTAATATCTTGATAATGTCATTATTTTTTCTTATGTGTTATCCGTTTTAATTTTTGCTACTGTTGAAAGCCTTCAAGTGATGTAGTTTCTCTTATTTGATACAGTTCTTTGTTTGTGATTCTGTAACGCCAGTTAGCGCGGTTTGAAGAAGGATAGTCCTCTCATATCTAATATGTATAAAATCTTATCTATATTTTGATAAGCTGTATTTTAAATACCGGCACCTATATTGTAGAATGTACGGGTGGTGTAACAGTGGCTCAAAAATAAAAATCAGCATGCAGAGTTCGAATTCCGGTTAAGTTGGTTACGTTCACTATCGTGCAAATACACTTGGGAAAGGTGTGAATCCATCTATTCTCTTCCCGCCCAAATTATGTTTTAAATAACACCGCAAACTGCGTTCTCTAACTTTAAGTGGTATCCAGTCCAGAAAAATTCTGAATTTAAAACCGGTTGATGTGATAATAGGTATATTGACGGTGACTCGATAGAAACACACATCCTCCAGCATCTTTGTGCATTCGTAGATATATTCGGCCCCAAACAAACACACGTGAGTTGTGCAATCTGTCGTAAGCAGTGATAACGATCTCTCGAAATATCGACGATATATTTAGATATTTACTAAGTTTGACAGTCTTATTCATTGTTAAACTCATAGCATATTCAATGCGAATTGAACAGCTTGTAAGATTTACAATCAAATGTGCTGACGAGTGAATGTCATCTCCGCAAAACTCAATCGAGACAAGATAGTGATTTTCCAAGCGTAGCTTAGATGTGGCACAAGGCCGAAATTAGGGGGCATCCGGTGAGGATCGAACTCACTACTCAGTCGTAATTGTTCTGGCGAGCCTCGCGGTGCCTCTAGTCGAGACAAGATAAGTGAAGATCTAATTTATTTTTTTTAATTTCACCCCAAGTAAGGCGATAATGCCGCTAAAACGCAAGGGGGTTACTGAGAGTGAAAGAGAATGAGAAGACTTTAGTGAGGAGTTGTAGTATCACGCGCGCGCGCGCACACACACACACAAGTACACATTATATATAATGTTTTGAGGAATGCTATATTTATGGGTAAAAATACTCAATATCAGAGATGGAGCGCATGTAGATATAAAAGTGGACACTAGTGTTAGCACCAGGTAACGACAGGCTATTTCATGTTTGAACGCAATCTTCAGGCCTGAATTTGCATCCAAGCATGAAACATACTGTCGCCGCTTGGTGTTGGCTTCAGTGTTCACTTATGAAATATATTTATATATGTAAAGACTATATAAATAAAAAATCCCCAAGGAATGAAACGCGTTGGCATAAAAGGTTTACCACTTTTTTTATATATATATATATATATATAAATTATTTAATATCTTCAGCGCTAACGATTTTTTTACTGATGTATTTAGTCCTGGAATAGAAAAAATGAGAATTTCTTGGAGGCTAAATGCATCACTAAAAACAGGTAATCGCTACAGCATGGGCGGATGGTAAAATGAAGACAAGGCGAAATTTTACAAAATGGGAACGTTTTGTAATTAATGTCGTTTGGCATGTAATAGTTAAAGCAGTGAAATTTTTAACGATCATTAGAGCCGGTTGTAGAATCAGAAATTTAATTATAGTACAACGTTTCGTTAGTCAGGCACTCTTGAGAATGAAACTCATGAAGATAAGCAACTCAGATGCCGGTATTTCCGAAGATTACTTTAGTCTGCCACATGACCATTATTTTCAGAACGCCAAGGGAGAACTGAACTCAATATGCAGTAACAATGGGCTTCTAAAAAAGCTCGCTAACAATCAATCAAATTACTAAGTCTGGCATTTTCTGATACAAGGACACAGTATTAGTTTAGTGGGAAAATGGAATCACTCGACTAGCGAAATCATTACTCAGGTTGATTTGTGAACATTTAGCTTTTAAATAAATAAATAAATAATATATATATATAATATATATATATATATATATATATATATATATATATATATATATATATATATATATATATATATATATATATATATATAATTTAGGCAGTAATTTTCATTAACAAACGTTTGATTAAAGATCATAGACAGGGGCAGTTTTAACCTTTTAAATCTGCCCCCACGTTTATACGAAATTAGAGCGTTCCTATGAAATATTTCATCAATGAAAATGCCAAAGAGTAAAGAAGTAATTATCATTAATTTATATAGGAAATATTTTTGAGCGTTGCTAAATCCCAAAATAAACTTACGTCAGATTTTTGCTATGATTGACAGAACTGCGATGATTAAGCGGAGAAGCAGGACTTTAATTCTTGAAAGAGTAAGAAAGTTTATGGTTACATTTGAGAATATTTTTGTTAATGCCGATAAAGGACTGTACAAGAGAAAAATGAGAAGCATATCGTCATACTTCAAACGTTTCATATTAGCCACACCAGATTATGTAGGTCGATATCGAGGCAGACAGACGTAATTATTATTGAGTCTGAAAACGCTCAAATCTTTTCTTATACAAATTAATGTTAATTGCTTGCTTGGATGGTGATTTCTGAGCGTCGCTTAGATATGGCACAAGGCCGATAGTATGGGGCACCCAGTGAGAATCGAAGTCACTACTCAGTCGTAATTGTTCTAGCGAGACAAGCTTGCTAAACATTATACCACGTCGATATGCCCAATGATTTTCTAAGCAGAGCATAGATGTGGCACAAGGCCGAATGTATAGGGCACCCAATGAGGATCGAACTCACTACCTAGTCGTAATTGTTCTAGCGAGACAAGTCGAGGTGCTCAATTGATTCCAATATGCGTGTGATGTAGTTTCTTTTTTGTTTCAATTCTTTTCAAAACGTCGTCAGTACTCACATGTTCGGTCCATGGTATCCTCAGCATCTTTCGGTAGAACCACATTTCTATTGCTTAAAGTCTCTTCTTCGTCTTTGAGAAGAATGTCCACCATTCACTGCCATACAAGAAGACATATCACGTAACAGTCCAGTACTCTTTTCTTTGTTACCAATGAAAACCTCCTGTCTCTTAATACTCTGCTTAGCTTTTGGAATGCATCTTTGGCCATCCCAATACGTCTTCGGATCTGTGTCGCACTTTTCGTCCGCTGTTAGAACACTTCCTAGATATTTAAATTTTTGTATTTGTTTTATTTTAACATCCCCGATTTGTAATTTGCATTTTGGACTCACCCTTTTGCATCCTGTCTTTTTGTAGTTTATGCTTAGTCCTTTCTTCTCGCTTTTCTTCGCTACCTTCAGTAGGAGGTTTTGTAGTTTTCTTTCCGTGTCTGCTATCAACACTGGGTCATCTGCATATCTTATATTATTAAAATTGTGACCGCCAATAATTAATCCTGGTAAAACTTCTAATTCTTTCAGAATTGCCTCGCTGTATAGGTTGAATAAGTCTGGTGAGAAGACACATCCTTGTCTTATACCCCTTTTTATTTTTGCGTATCTGCTGAA